TTTTTGCCTGTCCCCATTCCTGGTAATGTACTATTTTAAAGTAATTAATTATTGCACTTTGTTCAAAGCTGTCTAAAAGAATTTTTTTTAAACAAAATTGTTTAAAACAATAGTTTAAATCTTACATCAAACTGGCACAGAATGACCCTCATGGTGGTAACCATGCCCTTTTTCCTCTCTTCTTCCCTTTAGCCACAGTCAAAAAGACAGGAGGAAATGGATGGATAAATGACCGGTCAGGGTCATTTGGAGGAAACGGACGGTCAACGACCAGTCTGGATGGAGTCAGTTTCTCAGAAGGGGAACTGTTGTTGCAGGTAAAATGCATGTGCACCAATTCCTTGATCTTATTCCTTGCAAATTCCCAGGAATCGCCATCCTGATCTCCCACTTTTTTTCTTTTTTTTTTACACATACATTCTATATAAACACCTTGTACCTCATTTCCCACCTAAAATGCCCTGGTTTGTGTGAACAGAATCATCTGCTGTGATTTCTTCCCATTTTTCAGTCTAAGGTCAGACCACTTTGCTATATGCAGGGGTCTTAAATCTGTTTCTGCCAACTCAAGAAAAGTCGTGGCCAAGCATCTGTCTACTTTCTAAATCATCCATCACTTTTGTACACCCTCATTTGCTCCATCTTGTATTCATTTATGCAAACTGTCACTCTGGGCTGTGCAAAGAAGTTGGTCATTTCACAATATGTTTGTGTGTGCGCATAGCAGGTAAAAGTGTAAACGTTTCCTGATTCCCTGGAAAGATGATAAAGTAAACAACAGCCATGAAGAGTATCCATACCCGCTCAAACAAAACACTTCCATGTCATAAACTCATGAAATTAATTTTGGTAGACATTTAGTTTATTGTAGCTGTTGTCACGCTCGTTGAAAAGGAATGGCGTTTGAGCAATCGGCATTCTTTGCTGTTGAGCAATGTTATCTTTTCTTTGTAAACTATATCACATGTTACTTTCCACCTACAAATATTGTGAGTTTCTTTTTCAGCCACATCTCCGTCTCCGTCTCTCTCGCTCTCCATTGTTCGAGGGCTGCTTGTTCCTGTGCGTGACTAGCGGCGATATTCACCCCCTGTCTGTTGTCATGTTCAACACCTTAACAAAAGCTTGGCTAATTACATGGGATGTTTACTGAAAAAAAAGATGTAAAAGAAGAAAAATGGCCCCATTATCCCCACCCATCTACAGTCTTACATTCACAATCCCAGCCACCGTGTTTAGCATGAAACAAACCAAAACATTTCAGTTTTTCTTTATTAAATATCCCAACCATAAAACCTTTGTCTGCATGTTAACGTGTTTTAATATTGTCAGTCACAATTCTATCTAATTTCGTTTTCAGGCCCTCAATGGCTTTGTGCTTGTGGTCACCACCGAAGGTTACGTGTTTTATGCGTCTCCAACTATACAGGACTACTTGGGCTTTCATCAGGTGAGTTTGCTTTAAAACCTTTCTTTTAGGAAGTCCTGCTTTTTTAACATTAGTTGTCTTGTCATACGTCAAAATTGTATGTACTTTGTACAGTTTACGAAAATAAACACAGTTTAAATCGATATTCATATACCAGCCTCAAAAAATGCTTGTCATTTAATTGACAATTGATAAATCCAGCATAGTTATCAAATCTATTGACGAGTCATTCACCTGGAAACATTTGTATCATTCTTCAGTCATTTGTTGGTTCGACTTTCCTCACCCTGGAGGAAGAGTAATGGCTTTTGCGAGAGTTTAACATGCCGTGCCGTTTCCTACCGTTATGAATTTCTGTTATCGCAAGGATAATACTCTGGGCCTCAATAACAGCGAACTGTTCTGTAACTGAAAGTAGGCTGTGGAAAAAGTTCTGAGGGTGTCTGGGTTCGATTACTTATTCGGAAAGGTGTTCGTTTACTGTTAAACCAGCGTGGCGTCAGTGAGGATTTTATATATATATTTTTTAGTATTAACAAACTAGTCTATGTTGTTCGAAACATCCCTTTTCTTCCTTGTCCTGTTTGGAAGGCTTTTTCAAATTTATGTAAGCTAATATTTGCAAATGCCTAGCGATTAGGCCTAAGTGTTTTTTTCTTTCACCTTGTCAGCCTGTGATGTGCGTAACAGACATAGTTTGGTTTTGTTTATAAAAGAGGAGAAGCTCAGAAAAAGAACATCAAAGAGAGGTACATTTAAGGTTTGGATGCTTAATTAAAGAACTTGCAAAACCTGTTTGTCTGTGTGTGAACCACAGCCAGTTCAAGGAGATCTTGTGTGTGTGTGTGTGTGTGTATGTGTGAGAGAGTGTGTGTGTGTGTTTTGTGTGAGTGTGTGTGTGTGTGTGTGAGTGTGTGTGTGTGTGTGTGAGTGTGTTTGTGTTGTGTGAGTGTGTGTGTGTGTGTGAGTGTTTTGTGTGTGTGTGAGAGAGTGTGTGTGTTTGTGTTGTGTGAGTGTGTTTGTTGGGGGGGGGGGTTTGTGTTTTGTGTGTGTGTGTGTGTGTGTGTGTGT